AGCCTTCTGGTTAGCAGTCAAGTGCTGTAGCCACTATGCTACCAGAGCTCCCCTTCAACCCTCTACTCATTACAAATTCCAAACCTGCTTCCACATTTTAGGTATCTGTTAGAGGAGCATTACACTCCTGGTACCAAATTCTATCTTAGTTATCTACTGCTATTGTAACAGAAGTACCACAAATGGATGGCTTTAAAAGCAGAAATATATTTCACAGTATAGGAGGCTATAAGTCCAAGTTCAGAATGTCAACTCTAGGGGAAGGCTTTCTCTCTATGTGTCTCCTGGTCCTCAGAGGATCTCAGAGCAGGAATCCTTGGTCCAAAGAACATGCTTTACTCCTGGATTTTTCTTGTTGCTATTTGGGGATGCTACTGGCATGTAATTGGTAGAAGAGATACTCCTAAACATCTTGCAGTGTACAGAAAGCCCTCCTCTACCACAGCAAAAAATCACCTGCCCCCAAATGTCAATTGTGCTGAAATTGAGAACCCCTGCTTTGATGTGAAGTTTTTGTACAGGTAAGGGACTCCTATCGTGGAGAGATTATTAGAAATTCCTTAATGGTTATTTAGCAACCATTTACAAATATTCATAAATGTTTTAAGCTTAAGGGTTTAGTGATTTAAAAATACAAAGAATTGTTTTGTTGTATAATTATATAATAAATATACATACATATATAGTCTGACCTCCCAAGAAAAACAGAAAACAGAATAAATAAGAAATTAAAAAGACTTTTATTACTATAATCTCTTCAATTATCTTTGCAGGTCAATACAAACTGTTAACATATAAAGGAGTTCTGGTAGTATAGTGATTAAAGCATTTGGCTGCTAACCAAAAGATTGGTGTTCAAATCTACCAGACACTCTGCAGGAGAAAAGATGAGATAATCTGCTTCTATAAAGATTTACAGCCTTGGAAACCCTATGGGGCAGTTCTACTGTGTCCTTCAAGGTCACCAAGAGTCAGAATTGACTCAACAGCATTGGGTTTGAGTTTTTGGTTAACAAATAATAATAGTTGCATGCATTTAATTTTCTTTGGGGCTTGTATCTTTTGCATATAAAAGTATCCTTCCTTAACAGAAGAGCATAAAGATTTTCTCTTGTATTTCTTCTAAATTTAGATAACTCAGCAACACCTTTTATAATTGATTTTTTATTAACATAACACACTGTGAATTTTTTTTCATGTGATTAAGAAGACATGGTCTTCTAAAACATTGTATTTAATGAATATATCAAATTCTAACACATGGAAGACATCAAGAAAAATGGCAGATAAGGACCTATAAAAATTTGCCCCTCCATAAAAATAAATAAATAAATAATTATAATAATAAAACCGGCAAAAATAGTCAAAAGAAACTTTCAGAACTCTGAAAATGAAACAAAGGTTTGCAGCAAAACAGGGAGTTTATTCAGGAACTGCTGATCTCTGTAAAAACAGTTAACTTTGTGATGTTTTAATTTACACTAGTTCCAGCCCTGCTCACAAGCTTAGCAGTAACCTAGAAAAACTGCCTATGTTCCCAGTACCAGAAGGAGCAGAAAGGAACTGTAACTTTTTTTTAAGTCCCCTCACATCAAACTGACATTATTTGACTGGTCACGTGCTTCCCTAGGAGACCCTACGCAAAAAGACTGTCTTTTTTGGCCTGACTCAAAACTTAACTAAAACCTCTCCTCAGTGGGTGTTTGTCAGAAACATTTATAGGCAAGTGTCGTAACATCATGGCTACCTGATGCATGGGTAACAATTGGGGTAAATAGTTGAGTAACCAAGAAGCTTAAAAACAAAAGCTGATGAATGAGATGTCTTCAGAGACTTTAATAACTCTGACATATTCCTGGGACTCCAGAAGGTCACATGCATGTGTAGGGCTCTGTGCACATTCAGAGAACTGAGAGGCCCTAAGTACTCACCTCTGGCTGACCTAAAGTCTCTACATAAGCAGGAATCGAAAGCTAAGTCAGAGTCATAACTGCCTGGCTGAGTGTTGAAGTTGTGGCCCAATATACACATGGAGCCCCTTGACAAAGACTGGGAGATTTATTGAATCCAGGTGTCTAAGGAACTTTGTTTAACCGTTACCTAACCACTCACCTAACTGAACAGAGACGTCAGTGGCCACACACAGAAAACATTAATTGGCAAAATTAGTCCAGGAAAGTCATTAAGTAAATAAGCTAGAGTAGGGAAAAATAAAGTTAATAAGCAGAAAGATTCCAAAAGAGGAGGGAAAGAGACAGCATTTTAAAAACATTCCTGATCCTGGCTTCACTTGTTCTGAAAGTAAAACTTCCTTTCATGAGATGAAATAACCCAGTATCCTTCCTATAACTTTATGTCTAAGCTAACTTGAATATAATCTACTACATTCTTTCAGTTGAAAGAATATTGACTTAAACATTTTTTACAAACATGTATATTAAAGAGTCTCCCCCAGTTTTGGGCTGAGTATAATCATAGAGAAAATTAATGTTCTTAGAGGAAAACATCTATGTAATATAAATTTCAAGTCCTTTAGGAACATATTTCCCACCTTAGCTGAGTTTCTATCCAACATGAAGATATACTGAGTTGTTAATTCAAGATAAAAAAACCTCACTGCCATCAAGTCAGTTCTGATTGATAGCAACCCTTCCTTGAATTTCTGAGGCAGTACTACAGAGGTAGCTTGCCCGGTCTTCCTTCCAAGGAGTGGCTGGTGGGTTTGAACTGCCAGCCTTCTGCTTAGCAATCAAATAAATGCCTTACCCTGGAGTAGAAATATTTCCAACTGGGCATAAATCTATAAGCTAAAAATGCAAAAGACTTAACTTCAATGTCCTTACTATTCAATGAGAAGCAATATAATGGAAAAAATGGGGGGGGGCAGATTAAATTCAGATTCATGGTTTGAACATGGCCAAATTATGCACTTTAATTATAACCTCAGTTTGTCTTCAAAACATGAAAAGCTCTATTGGGATTTTTAAAATTCAGAGTATATGGATTTGAGTGTATATATATGCATATGTGTATATATATATATAAATTATAGAAATTGCTTTGGCCAGCAGCAATACAAAACGTTGTGAAATGAAAATCACAAAAAGAAAGGAAATACTGCTCATGCCAGATGAATATGTTGCTCCCACATTAGTTTAAATGGCCTCCAATGTACATGTCCTTTAATTATTAGTGAGTTAGCTTTTAAGTTGCTGCCCTGATGATGTAGACTATTACAAGAGTGGTTGTCTTAGGAAATTATGGAAAAAGTTGTGAAACACAGTTTTTCATATGCTTCGTTATGGGGTAATTAAAAAGACAGAATACCTGAATTATAAGAAGTTCATCTTTAAAATAGCAGTAGTATCTTGAGACATGATCAAAACTTATTAACTGTCAAGAAAAGGTCTGAATTCAACAATAAGAAGCTGTGTTAAGGGGAAGCAGGTGAAGTTGAGGGAAGATTTTAAGTCTGTTTCTGGATGGCAATAGAATATCAAATAACAAAGGATTTGAGACAATCTGCTCTTGACCAAAGCCTGATGGAGTAAATATAAAAGTTAAGACCTGTGGCCAATTTCACCATGGATTAAGCCATTCTTGTGTCTTTTACCAGTAGTCATTTCTTTATGGTAGGATGCCCTTCTAATTTTTTTTGGTAAGACATATATAATGCTAGAATTTGACAAAATCATCTATAGTATTTTCAGTAGCCTCAGCTTTGTGAAAGCTGGACAATGAATAAGGAAAACAAAAGTAGAATTGATGCCTTTGAATTAAGGTCTTGGTGAAGAATGTTGAGTATACCATGGATTGACAGAAGAATGAACAAATCTGTCTTGGAAAAAGTCCAGCCAAAATGCTCCTTAGTAGGGAGAACGGTGAAACTTCATCTCACATACTTTGGATACATTATCAGGAGAGAACTGTCCCTGTAGAGGGACATCATGCTTGGTAAAGTAGAGCATGAGTGAAAAATTGGAAGAACCTCAACAGGATGGATTGACAAAGTAGCTGCAACAATGGACTCAAACACAGCAATACTAGTGAGCATGGTGCAGGAGCAGGCAGTGTTTTGTTTTGTTGTACATAGGTTTGCTATGAGTCAGAACCAACTAGCAACAACTACTTAACCACTACATAAGTCTGTAGTATGTCAAAGATTTCACATGACTTAGATCCACAATCAACACCAATGGAAGCAGCAGTCAAAAACTCAGATAGATGTCATATTGCACTGGGCAAATGTGCTGCAAAA